AAAAAAAAAAAAAAAAAAAAAGGAAACAACTCATCAAAGAAGATATACAGATGGCAAATAAGCATATAAAAAGATTCTAAATGTCATATGTCATTCAGGAATTGAAAATTAAAACAATGAGATCCACTAACACCATTAGAATGGCTATTTTCAAAAAAAATGACAATACCAAATGCTGATGAGGAGGTAAACATCAATAGAAAGTACTCTTCCATTGCTGGTGGGAATGCAAATGATATAACCACTTTGGAAGACTGTCTGGCAGTTTCTTACAAAGCTAAACATAGTCTTGTTATGTGAACCAGCAATCATGTTCCTGGGTATTTACCCAATTGAGTTGAAAATTATGTTCACATAGAAGTCTGCGTATGAATGTTTACAGCTGCTGTATTCATTATCACCAAAACTGGAGGCCACCAAGATGTCCTTCAATAGGAGAGTGGATGGATGAACAAACTACAGTACATTCATCAGTGGAATATTGTTCAGAGATAAAAAAGAAATGAGCCATCAAGCTGTGAAAACACATGGAGGAAGCTTAAAGGTATATTGCTAATTGACAGAGCCAATATGAAAAGGCTTCATAATACATGATTCCTGTAAGAGTTAAAGAAAGAGAAAAGAAACATGAAAATTGGTTCAACAGTCAAAGACAGGTTTATTTTGGAAAATAAATCTGAGAGGGGCTTCTGGCCAATTTTGGTCAGCAGTGCTCTCTCTTACAAACTAAGACTATTTATTTTAGGGTGAGAGAACTTATCACAAGCTTGGAATGTTTCTGTATTGGGGAGAAGTTTATTGTGGGGTTGGAATGTCTCTGGTCAGAGGGGTGGTTATCCTGGAGCTGACATCTCTCTGGCCAGAGGGAAGGTTATCTCAGGGCTGATGTGTCTCTGGTCAGGGAGAGGTTTGGAGTGTTTCTGGTCAGAGATGTTATTTGTGGTTTATAGTCATGCTGACTTCAGCCATTAGGCTGATGCCTTTTGGATTTTGGCAGTTTTTGATCAAGGTGAACTTTAGGATGGCAGTGCTTGTCCAACAAGATGGCGATGCTCCTGTTCTGTCAATTTCAACTCTATGATATTTTGGAAAAGGTAAAATTGTAGAGATAGTAAGTAAAAAGGGGTCAGAGGGAGGAAGGGTGGGATGAAGACATGAAACACAGGATATTTAGGGTAGTGAAGCTATTCTATATGACATATAATTGTAGATGCATGTCCTTATGCATTTGTCAAAACCCATAGAAGTATCTATACAATAGAAGAGTAAACTTTAAACTATCTAGTTAATAATAATGTATCAGTATTGGCTCAATAATTATAACAAATGTACCACACTTATGCACTGTAATCCCAGCACTTTGGGAGGCAAAGTGTTAATAATAGGGAAAACTGTAGGGGTGGAAGTGAGGGTAGGGTGGAGGTAGGTCCATTGAACTCTGTGTACTGTCTGCTTAATAATTCTGTAAATCTAAAACTGTTCTAAAAGTCCATTAATGATTTGAAAAATTGTTGATCTCCTCAAGACAACACTGATGTTAAACTGGAAGCAATGTCCTATCTGAGCGCTGAGGGAATTCTAGCTGCCTCTGTGTGCACAGACCTAGGGAGGTGCTTTGCCCATTACCCTGGGTTTCAATAATAATCAGGCTTATTAGTGGCATTATGAATTAGGGCTCTTGGTAACTTTAGTTCTTGGAAATTTTAGTTTATAAAGCCAGCTTTGAGAAACCCTCAATAACTCACTTTTCTGATAAGTAGACTACTTAGTCCTTGATTGTTAGTAAAAAAAAAAAAAATGGCTCTCAGTAGAAATGCACATGACTTTCCCATAACAACCAAAGGAAGCACTTGGCATTTTGAACTACATCTGTGACCCACTAAGGGACTTTCCCCTGGACCACATGTCATAAGCTATATCCGGTAATCACTGTTCTGGACAAGCAAGAACAGGGGAATGGGAGTTCTGCTTATTCTAACAGAATTCTAATTATAGTACTGAGGGTATTCCCTCCAGCAACTGTTGATTTGGTTCATTAATGCAACTCTATCAAACCCAAGCCTTAGGGCAATGACCCCATCCTGGCACTCCATGTCTTTCAATTTGCTTCTGCAGCCCAATCTGTTTATAACTGACGGATATTATGGAAAAATGCCAATTTCCAGTAACCCTGCCTCCCCTGTCTTTTGTGCTATGCCCACAGAATACCCTCCTATCCACATTGGGCTTCCAGTACCCAGTTATCCTCAAAGAAAAACTGACCAGAAGGGACATCTTTTAGGCCTGCAAAAAGTCCACTGGGGCCTGCGGCCAGACAAGCTACAGCAGGAACTGACTGGCCCCGGGAGTGGGGCAAGCAGCCGGGACAGCAGCGTGGATCTTATCAGCAGGACTCGTGAGTTCCTTGAGGGGCACATTCTGGGGAGCCATCCTGTTGATGTGTCCAGATGGGACCCAGCAGGGAAGGGGGGATTCTCTGTAGAATGTGGGTAACATTCCACATGGCTCAGCCTAGCCTTTCAGGCTCTCTTTGCTCTGCTTCCATTGTTGACCAACCTTCTTGCTCATTGACACTTTTGGTCAGACTGAAGCCCTCTGTCTTTCTCTGGGGACTCTGAGACCCTCACTCTGATCCATTCTGTGTTGATTTCATGGTTTAATTCTCAGAATTATTTCCCTCATTTCCAAATTCCAAGGTCCATACAGCCGTCACCCTAAAAACCAATAAGGGACATACTTGTTTGGCACAAGGTACTGTGCTCAGTAAGCTGAAGTTCTTGTTACATTACCTCCACCCTCTCTCCTCACTGGAGCTTAAAGGTCTGGTACAGAATTGTCTAGTCACCCTGAACTGTAGCTTGCAAAACACCTAAGAAGCTTTCCCCCAGTACAACAAAGCCACTGGGCCTTCCTCTGCTCCTTCAGAAAACAGTTCTGGGCTAATTAAAAATCAGTCTTTTGCTCCTTCCTGTGGAAAGAAAATTGTCAATCTTAAGAGTAAAAAGGACTAGAATCCTTAGAGCACAAATGTGACATTTTATTTTCTAGACCTTACTGATATTTCTGGGGACATGATTTCACTCTTAGCATAAACCAAACCTGCCTAATAAACAGTATTAATTTGGTTTCTACAATATATAGCTCACTGTCTTGAGCATGGAAATGTTGGTTTATTTTACCGTCTAAACCTTCCAAGGAGTATCAGAGGCAATGACTGCATCTTAGTATCCTGGCAGGAGACCTGATGCACCTACTCTCACAGGCCACAGGAGCTACCCCCAACCCTGCAGAGTCCTCTACAAGCCTCCTCATTGGCATTAGATCAGCCAGGGCCTGTGGCTTTTACAGAGTAATTGTGCCTTTGTAGGATTTGGAGTAATAGTAAATCCTTTGGAGGAGTCCAGTGTAAGAGGTGGGCTGTAGTTAAAATATCACACACACACACACACACACAGACACACACACACAAAATATGTGTACATGCATGTACACACACACAGACCCGCTCAGGAGTGGGAACATCAGAGACCAAGAGGAAAGCAAGCCTGCTGGGAAGACCTCTTGCTCCCCATGTTGGTTCTGGATGCCTCACGTATATTGACATGGTCTCTGAGATGTTCCCTGTTACCCCACCACCTCCCCCACATTCAGGATTGAGGTTGCCCTTGGAAAGTGGAGTCTGCTGAACCAGAGAAGAAGAAAGCAGTTTAGATTTGGTGCTTTCTGCTCAAAGAGTTTAGAAGAGGTAACATGGAATATCACAGAAGTAGTTATAGCTGATGGATTTGACATTGCTTTGGTGGTTTCTTATTCAGTTAAGGGGACACTGACTTTGACTGCAAACCAAAGAAAAAAGAATATAGAATCCTTTGGCATATATATATTTTTCTCATTCTCTTGCCCAGGCTGGAGTGCAGTGGTGTTATCTCGGCTCGCTGCAACCTCCGCCTCCCGGGTTCAACTGATTCTTGTGCCTCAGCCTCCCAAATAGCTGGAATTACAGGCATATACTACCTTGCCCAGCTAATTTTTAGTAGAGACAGGGTTTCACCATGTTGGCCAGGCTGGCCTCAAACTCCTGACCTCAAGTGATCTACCTGCCTCAGCCTCCCAAAGTGCTGGTATTACAGGTATGAGCCAACACGTCTGCCCCTTTGGCATATTTGTACCAAATATATTGGTGCATTTCCTTCACCGCCTGCTCTTCCTATACTACGTGTGTGTGTTACTAGTTTTTTTCAGATAGGGCTGTGGATTAGGAAAGGAAGAATGGGAGAGCCTGAGAACAAGGAATTTTAGGCCATGTCTCTTAAGCTGGAGTAAAGACCCCTTTTAAAGGGAAAATAAAGTCTTGTGGATCCACAAAAATGTATTTGTATATTTGTAGGGCCCCAGGGAGCCACATATTCCAGTTTGAGAAATAATCTAACTAATTGAGGTTTTATTCCATAAAAATATCTTCCAATTGTGAATTATAACCCAAGTTTTGCTATTCTGTCTAATGAAAGAAATATTTTTAAAATCATCATCAAAATGGAAGCAAAATTTTAAAATTCAAGTAAAACTTTTCTATTCATGATAATACATTCCAGGCCCCAGTTCCAGATACTCTGGTTTAAGGAAGGCACAAAGTCTGATAACAAAGTCACCAACCACAGGGATTCTTCTGCAGCCCATGGGCATTGAGTTGTTTTCTGCCATTCTTCATGGAGTGGAAGTCTCAACCCTTCATTTTCTTGTAAGCAAAATGGGCATTGTATGTATGATACACATATAAACCTTGCTCTTGCCACATCACAGGGATGGTCCCAATGCCTTGCAGAAGGGAAAATAAAACAGTGCCAGAATCATTTTACCTGCCTCATCTAGACAATTGTCTGAATCGCCCACTTCTCTTTGCTTTAGGACAGCTGACCACATATGTTTTTCCTTCCAGACACCTAGGCAGGGGGCCCAACTGATCTGGTTGCATAGCCCAAGCAAGAACTCCCACTTTAGAGGGCAGGGGCATCCTGCAGAGTATGAGGGGCCTGGGCCAGGCAGGGTGGCTAGATGTATCTGGGCCTGAGGGTCGGGCACGTTATGCAGATGGAGGATTGCGCAGAGACCCTCTCTCAGTTCCTGCCTTACAGAATAATGGCAAAGATCAATAAGACAGTATATGTGAAGGGGCCTGGTACCTGTGAAAGCCCCCTGAGAATTATAGTTCAATATCATTTTGTTAACTAAATGTATAATATTAATAATCATAAACATAAAGTTGAAACAAAGGTAGCTCACTTTTATTCCTTTCACAGAGACCCATGAGGCTGCCTTTAATATGTGCTGCAGGATTCCTAATCTCCAAGACAGTTTTGAAATATACAAGCCAGCTGCCTGACATGTTAGATGGGAATGGGGTTTGGATGTCTATACTATTCTATTAAGTTCCAGTATACCTGGTTAAAAGATACACGTCTTAAAGAAATTTGTTGCTTCCTTGAACCACATTTAACGTACAGAACCCTGTGAAGTCACTGCTCTCACTCCAGTTGAGGCCCAGGTAACTGCTGGTCCTCAGTCCCACAGCAGGTCAGGGGCAGGAAAGAGGCCAGCCCAGGCCTCCTTTCCCTTCTTGTACTGGCTCTATGCCCTACATGGAAAGCAGTCCCTTTTTTCAGAGTTGCCCTCTGGATCATGTCAGAGCCCCTTGGAGAAAACATCTTGCACCTGGAGTTGACAGACCCACAAACAGAGAAGCATAAATTAGTGTGAGATGCATTGATGGAGGCCTGCACAGGAAACTATAGGAGGAGAAACAGGAGCACACAGGCCCAGGTGGTGACTGGTGGCAGAGGGGGCAGCACAGGCGTCCTGGAGCAGGTGATACCTGTCGTGAGTCTTAAATGGTAAGTAAAAAATAGAAAAGGCGGCTGGGAGAATTAAAGAAAAGGAAATTTATGTATTTCTCTTTTCTAGCTTTATTGAGGTATAACTGACAAAATTATATATGTTTAGGTATAAAACATGATTTGATATACATACACATTGTGAGATGATTACCACAATCAAATTGGTTAACATCTCCATCACCATTCATAGTTATCTTTGTGCATGTATATGGTAAGAACACTTAAGAGCTCTCTAAGCAAATTTCAAGTATGCAATACAGTATCATTAACTATAGTTACCATGCTGTACATTAGATCTCTGGAACATTTTCATCTTTGACCAACATCTCCCTATCTTCCACACCCAACCTCTGATAAACACTGTTCTACCCTCTGTTTCTGTAAGTTCAGCTTTTCCAGATTCTACATATAAGTGAGAGCATGCAGCAGTTCTGGTTTATTTTACTTAGCATTATGCCCTCCATGTTATCACAAATGGCAGAATTTCTCCTCCATGTTGTCACAAATGGCAGAATTTCCTTCTTTTTATGACTGAATAATATTCCATTGTACATATTTATATATGCCACATTTTCTTTATCCCTTCATCCATGCAGGTTGTTTCTGTTTTGGCTGTTGTTAATAATGCTGCAGTGAACATGGGCATGCACATATCTTTTCAAGATACTGATTTGGCTTCCTTTGAATATATACCCAGAGATGAGATTGTTGGATCATATAGTAGTTCTATTTTTTATGTTTTGAGGAACCTCTGTATTACTTTCCATAATGGCTGTGCCAATTTACATTCCCACCAACAGTGCACAAGTATTCCCTTTTCTCCACGTTCTCACCAACACTTGTTATCTTTTGGGGGTTTTTTTAGCCATTCTAACCAGCATGAGGTGATATCTCACTATGGTTTTAGTTTTAATTTGCATTTCCCTGATGATTAGTGATGGTGAGCACTTTTTCATGTACCCATTGGCCATTTGTATGTTATATCAGTCCATTCTCACACTGCTAACAAAGACATATCCAAGACTGGGTAATTTATAAAGAAAAAGAGGCTTAATGGACTCACAGTTCCACATGGTTGGGGAAGGCTTACAATCATGACAGAAGGTGAAGGAGGAGCAAAGACATGTTTTACATGGAGGCAGTCAAGGGAGCATGTGCAAGGGAACTGCTCTTTATAAAACCATCAGATCTCATGAGATTTATTCACTATCATGAGAAGAGCATAGGAAAAACCCGCCCCCATGATTCAACATGATTCAATTACCTCCCACCAGGTCCCTCCCATGACACATGGGGATTATGGGAGCTACAATTCAAGATGAGATTTGGGTGGCAACAGAGCCAAACCATATTATATGTCTTCTTTAGAAAAACATCTATTCAAAGCCTTGGCCCTTTTGTTTTTTCTTTTGAGATGGAGTCTTGCTCTGTTGTCCAAACTGGAGTACAGTGGCGCGATCTTAGCTCACTACAATCTCTGCCTCCTAGGTTCAAGCAATTCTTC